TTTTTTTTTTTTTTTTTTTTTTTTAAGACAGAAAATGCTGAGCCAGTGTGGAGCCATTCTCAAATACCTCCTGATATAAAAAAAAAGATGCAAGTGGCACGCTGCAGCAGAAGGCCGCGCTGGCAAGCAGCAGGGCAGGGGGCAGGCAGGCCGGGGCAGGTCATGCCGGTAGCTGCCCTCACTTTCTTACACGGGGGTCAACATGGCAGAAGTAAAAAGTGATGACCTTAATTAAAAAAAAAAAAAAAAGTCTCATCTGCACTTATCATTTGCTGGCGTTAAAGAAACAATTCTTATGGTCTGTGTTGTCATAGTAATAAAAAAAAATAATTACCAAACAGTGAAATAGATTCTGACAGTACCGGCTCGCCGAGCATTTACTTCTCTCCTTCCTTCCTTCCTTCCTTGGCCAATGTGTCTGGGATCAGAAGCGCTGCGTATTTTCGAGTGGCATTCCACTGCGAAAGCCAACATAGCGATAACTCCTACTTTATCTATTGGTAAAAAAAAATCATGCAGTTGTGATTTTTCTTACATTTCCCTCATTTTATGAGAAACATACTGCATCGGCATCTTTTTTAAATCTGTCATTGTGGAGCTCAGATAAGCATCTTTCCTCTGGGTCGAGTTACTCTTGGAGTAGCTTTTAACATTAAGACTGTTGTATGGATCATTGCAAATATTTGATAATAATGCAAAATATGTAAGATCTCAAAAGAGACCAAAGACCAGGGGACGTAAATAAAATTCACACAGATTCTGTGGACAACTTTATACTCGGGTTGTCTGTCTGCTTATGAAATGCGTTTTCTCCTTGGCTGTTGTTTGATCTAAAAATGCATTTGTGCTGTGTGAGTCCTTACAAGCGTGCAAAGATACCTCTGTGTGAAAAGCATCACACACGTGCATCTTTCCTTCAGCATGGCACCTTCCTCCCATCTACGAGTCTCTTAAACATGTGTGCACCGAACGTGAAATACCATCTTTTATGTAATACCTACAAACCACACATGTGGAAGGAGTGACAGGGTGGTATTTGTAGGTTTAAAAGAAAATCAGTACAAAGTACAGAGCACCAGAAAATTAGGTTTTGCACTTCTTTATTTATCTGAGAGCAGCGAGCAAGATACTGCTTTTCTAATTTAAAGCACGTACCGTTAGAAGTCCCTCAAATGTCCGGAATTATAATAGAATTATACTCTGACAGAGTGTTGAGAGGGAGGATTTCCAGGGTTTGCACAGCACTTGGCATGGGGGAAGGGATGCAGAAGCTCCTTGACACAAAATGAAACTACTTCAGTGGCACCAGTGCTTTCCTTTCCGCCGGCGGTGACGCATGAAGCCAGGGTGCCCCAAATCAGGCTCCCAGCACTGGCTACAAAGCTCGTTTAAATCTCCGCTGGCTCAGTTGATAGAAACACAGGTCAAGCTGTGTGACAGGACCAACTCATGTTTCAGAGAAGCGTGCCGGGGCTGCGACGCGCGGGAGCAGCCCGGCGGCTGGAAGGGAGAAGCGTGGTCCGGGGGCGGGCAGCGAGGCAGGCGCTGCGGTGCTCGGGAGGGGGCTGAAGCCACGGAGGGCACTGGGCGGGCTTCAAAATGGTACCTGCAACCCGTGGCAGCTGTTTCAGAGGTCAGGCTGAAATGCTGGTGCTTGCTTGGCCCTCCTGACAAGCCTCGAAGTTGCAGGAGGAATCGTTTCATGGCATCAGACTTGATTTTAGTGGGGATTTTAGGGGATTGATAATCATGTTTAAATTAACAGAACAGAATGAGTTTGGGTAAGGGTTTTGGTTTTTTTTGGAAGGGTGGCCTGCTCCTATTGTCGTGGCTGTTTGGGGCTGGGCAGAGTGGTTCGGCGTGCTCTGCGGGATACATCTCGCCACCGCAGCTGGAAAAGGACCAAGAGCTGAGGGCCCTGGCTCCAGAAAGGGACGATAAGAAATACTCTCAGCGATTTGGACCTGCACCGGTCAGCATCAGTGCCATACGGTATAATACAAAGGATAAAAGTTCGGAACATACAATGCAGAAAGCTAGCCAGGAAGCTCACCCGCTTTGGGTGGTTTCTCTCTGGTTTTGGACGTTTCTTTGGCCTGTAGCTTCAGAGGGGCACATGGCCATGGTGGGGGAAGGTCAGCTTCCCGCTCCGCAGCTCGATTGCTGCCTGCCTACAGAAACAGGCACAAAGCTGTCACGGGTGCAGGTGAAGTACGGGCAGCGGGTTGCAAATGCAGAAAGCGCTGATGGCAGGCAAACCGTTCCCTTTCCTGAAACTTGGCCCACAAAAAGCCACAAGGAAAGCTGCAAGGAGAACAAGCGAGGCAGTTATTATTCCAGCTGGTACACCTACAAACATAATTTTCTCGTTTTTCAGCTCTTCCTTTTGGATCCTTGCACTGGCTCCGTCCTTCTGGCTGAGTTTTGTTTTCTTTGAAACTTTTGTTGGTGCAGCTTTCCAGATGCTTTCACGGTTGATAATTTTCTTAAATAGTCATAAGATGCAAATCTGCTACAAGGTTTCAGCTAAGCAGAGAGATCAGAAGGGGCTCGGAAAAGTTTTATGATGTCCCTGCCCTTGAACACAGAGGGCAGCCGTGGCCCACACCACCTACGGGCATTGACACTTAAAGCCACAATATTTCTGGAGATGCTTTGCCCTCCTGTGAACGGGGCCTGGTGCCATTAGAGCTGATCCTCCCCCCAGAACTGCCCCTTTGGCTTCAGTGGGGGTTAGACCCAGCTCTCCCTGGAGAAATGGTTTAGTTTAATAGCAAAGAAAGATAGTTAGTAACGCTCTTGTTAACGTGCTCTTCTCTCCCCCCTGCCCAGCTGCTTCTTACCCGAGAGGCTGAGCAGCACGGCCGAAAGCGAGGGGCTGTTTGACCTTCCCTGCTGCAGGAGCCACTGCTGAGTGACACACAGTTCACCTTCAGGGCTGGAGTACGAACTGGCAGCCCTGCCAGCCTGGGTAGCAAGATACCATGTTTAGGCATTAAACTAGGGCACTTGCATACCAGCACAGGCCGCTATTTTCGTGGGTATATGAAGTTGCTCCCTGCTCTCCACCCCTATGGGACAACGGAGCTGCTGTGAGCATGGGATATCCTCTGCCTGGTGGATAAAGCTATTAAAAATGGGCTGTGTTTTGTCAGTAATACTTAGTTCATCCAGCTGAATAACTGTAAAAGTACCAGCCCAGCTTAAGGTATACTGATATATGTTGTAAATGAAAGCAATACGCTCAGGGCTCAGCCCCTGGGGTCCTGTGCGCGGTGTGCTCATGTCTCCTCAGCAATGTGGGTGTAAAGCTCTTCTCCTCTGACTCAAATCAAAGCCAGTCGCAGGGATTCTGTGGAGACCATCCAGGATGTAACTCAGCCATGCTAAGTACCATAAAATTGTGATATTATTCTTCATTGTTTGTAGCTTGGAAGCCTGTAGAGGCCTAGCTTGGAGCCGTCCATTTTATTAAGCTCCATCCAAACACAGTGAGATAGTTGTTCTTCCGAAGAATTCGTATTCTCAAAGTGCAAGCCGCCCCGTTTGTGTTCTTGTATCCATGCAACCTTGTTGCTCTTACAACATTACACATTTGTCCTGTGAGATTCCCTCCCTTACAATAAAAACTCACGAGAATGATGATACGCACATTTTCAGTGCTGCACACACCAGAGACTGCAGGATCCAGCAGTACCCAAAGGACAAAGGAGATACGAAGGCTGCTGTAGTGGAATTGCTAACTTATTTTGAACTGCAGATGTTTGTAATGGCTGTGAAGTTTCCTAATTGAATTTCTGACCCTTTTTGTCACAGAAACCCAGTTAATATAGGGGAAGGAGAAGAGCATGTAGATGGATTGGTTTGCTTTTTTTGCTTTATTTTTTTAACAGAAAGTCCAGTGTAGAGTTCTGTACATTTTTCTTTTCATTTTCTTACATCTAGGAATACAGCAGCCTGGTCCTCACACGGTCTCAGTGGTTGCGCATAGTTCAAAGGACCATGCGTGAAGTCCCCAGTGCAGTGCAGTATCTCTCCAGAGGGCTTCATGGAGCCCACGCTGACCAAGTCCCCCAAAGCTAATCCTCTCTGAGCTCTTCCATCCTTTCGAGGCACGCTGTTACGCACAGACCCACTAATGGTGGTGGCCAGACCAGAGCAGGTAACCCACGTTGTGTCTTCTGTTCCCAGCAGAAATTCCCAGGGAATTCAGTACTTTCTAGCTGCTTATTCTCAATACTTTGTACTGATGCTATTTCTTACTAAAAGCTGATAAAGATCCTCTATAACCACAAGGCACATTAGTAATCAGAAATGCAGAGAGGATGTAGTGAAGCTACGTAGTCAACCTGCCATGTGACTGTGGCCAAGTTGCAGATGAGAAGCTGGGAGCAACCATTTCCAAAGCTCTTTTTTCTCAGCCACCCAGCACCTCAGGACAAGTTTTAGCGGTGTCCTGCTACGTTCCAGGTCCAACAGACCTCCTAGATGCACACAGCGGTCACATCATTTGGCTGTGTCACATGTAGACGTCTTAGCTTCATCTGTCACCTGCTAGCCACCACTGCGTGTTCACCAGGAGCATGTCCTTGCCCGCAATATGCTGCGGGGCTACAAAGTGGCACATACCCACATTTACACCAAAAGTGGATTTCTTAGTTCTTGCAAAAAGTGAAGTGCAGAACCATCTTCTCCTCCTGTTGAACATAGCATTTGTTTACCTTTCAGCAGTGATTTGTGATGCTGTACCCATCAATCTGGATACAGAACTCCTTCTTTCTTGGAAATCGGTGAGAAATACAATGTTAAACCAGAGCACAGGCAATGGCCCTTTAAGCATTGTCTGTTTAACTGTAGCACGATCTCTCCTGCACTCAAGTGCTTTCCATAAACAGCAAGTCATCCTGGAAGGGGAGGGAGAGGATGATAAATAATCCTGTTATTCATGCCACTGCGTTCTTTCATGAAACTGGGAAAAGGCAAAATAAAGTGGCGACTGCGAGGCTGAGAACAAAACGCAAGGCAGTGGGGCGTGTTGCTGCAGTTATTTTGGGCTAGAAGAAAATCTGAAAAGAGAAAGGTGAGCAGAAAAGGTTTAAAATGCCAAGAAGAAAGCCAAGATACAGGGCATAAAAGAACAGCTTTCTCTCTTCATCCTTGCTTTGTGTCTCGACTAACTGCTAGGGCTGGCTGTAGCTCTGGCTGCCCACTGCCTGCGCCCGTGGCGTGGCTGCCTGTGCTTTCTCCTGTGCATGCACCTTGCGGAGAGGTGCGAAGTGGGGGACACCAGAGCTCTGGTAAGGAGAGCTGGGCAAGGAGAGAGGCAAAAGTGGGCAAAGCCTGGGAAAGAAATCCCATGGAGCAATGGGGAAGCAGAGAAGAAACCTGTTTGCTGAGGGTCCTAGCAAATGAGCTCTAATTAGTTTTTCTGGGACAGTCCATGGTGTTCCCTCCATGGTGCTTTGCCCCTGTGCCAGAGGTGCCTCCCCAGTTCATGGCAGAGGCATTGGTGCCTGTGCTGCAGCCACTCCAGTTCTCCATCTGCCCTCTCCGTGCATCCCCCGGGCCCTGAGCCTGGACAGCTGAGGCCCAGGGACCCGTCCCATTCGGTCGCCTCTGCTTGCGGGCAGCCTCCCGCAGAGAGTCTGGACAGACAGCGGTGGGGTAACATCTTAAACCACTGCAGCTGTTTGCTCTCCGCATGTGAGTCAGAGCCTTCCATCCCTGGGATGCTCCTGGAAGCAGCCTGGCCCTGTACTGCAGCCAAATTGCCTGGTACCAGCCCAGCCTTTGGTTTGTAAGAGCTTCTTATACCAGGAGAGTGTCAGCCCCTCTAAGACTTCAGTAGTGACACACATCCGTTTCAGCGGTGTGGCACTGGGGATTAGGACAAGGCAGGCCACATCATTGTTATAATCTTCCAAAAGTGCCTCTTCCCCATGTAACTTCGTGGCATCAGTGCAATTCCTTCGGGCTTATAAAAGCTTAAGCCATTGTAAACAAGGCAGCCTTGGAGCCTAGGTATTGTAGAGAGAGAATTCCTTTCCATGTCCTAGATATTTCAGATGGAAAAAAAAAAAAAAAAGAAGAACATTTAAGACGTCAGCTTCTCTGCTAGTGTAAATGGGACCGGCTCCATTTAACTTCAGTCCAGTGTCTCTGTTATACCGTCATTGTGTGAAGCTCCTGTTAAGGCAAATGGGAATTACACATGGCGTGATGAGAAAGCAACAGATACCTTTGTAAATACTGTACAATCACATGAGCCACATGTATCTTTCCTGAGACACCCTGCCAAACTAGCAGGTGTTTTTTACATCAGGCCTTATATTAACACACTCCTACGTGTGTCTGGCTGCATCTGCTGCATTAACGATCGTTTGGTGCATAATGGCTGGGTTAGTTTGTGCAGTTAAATACCATGGGCAACAGCCCAGCCACAATGCGTACAAACGTTAAACTGCTTCTGTTTGTATGACGGGGTTTATTACTCCTGTTCCTTCGCTAGGACTTTTTCTCACTTTCCTCTTCTCACTGCATTTTTGCCTTGTTCATGCCCATGCTTTCCCCGGTTTATGGTTTCCAGATCGCCTCCATCTCTTTATTTTCTCCATCTTTTGCCATAGCTTTCCTGTCTCATTTCAGTTCCGGTGGATGCCAGAGAAGATGAAAGTTGCAGCCAGCCAGCCCCAACTGCTCCAACACACCCCGACAGCCCCGGAGCGACGGGATGCTCCTCCAGCCGGTGCACCTCTGGAGCCCAGGGGTAGTGTCCTGAGGGCTGCTGGCTGGGGACACCACCACTGCAACGCTGGGTGTTCTTCGTGCCTGCTATGGAAGTGAAAAAGGCCAGGTCACGGACTGATGCTGTTTGAGTACCTGGCCCACTTCTAATCTGAATGCAGACAACAAGCATAACTGGTGGATCTGTGTCCAAGTCCAAAGCCTCTGGGGAAAATATGTGCCCTTAGCAACACCCCGTGTAAAATCCTGCTTTTACAGAAGTCAGTGGTAGAAGTCTTTGGGATTAGTCTTCTATTGTAATTATCAATGACTTTAAAAATATTCTGTGGCCAGGTATAAAAGCCATTCAGAAACAAGGAAGGGCCGAATCTGAAGCCAGCTATCATAGACTTCTACCAAAAAAAATCCACCTGTCTTTGTAGGGCTGATACTGAAGTTAGTTAGGCAGAAATTCCCAAGGGCATCAAAGAGGTGTGCATGTTCAGCTCCCACTGAAATGGGAGTTGAGAGCATTACTTAATGAGAAGGATTTGAAAAATACTCTTCTATCCTCCTTTGTTTAAAATGAGGCATCTTTGTTTAAGATGCCAAATTCAAACATCCACGCTAGCATGGTGTCCGTTTCCATTGCTCATGCTTTTAGTCTTGTAGTTGTTGTCCTGGTCCTTCATGGAGGTCTCACCTTTAGTCCCAGGCTCTCTTGGCCTAAGGTTTAGGTTTTTGCAGTACTTCCACGGCATATGCACATACACAAAGCACAACAGCTGGTGGATCTCTTATTCATGGCTTAATCACTTCCCTCCGGAGGTGTGCGGTGTGATGTGTGGTCTTACTCAACCCTGGCTTTCTGAGGAATGGAGAAGCAGGGTCAAGCACAGCCCAGATTCAGACCAGCACTTAAGAGCATGACTAACCCAGAGCGTGGAGTGTTCTCTTGATGTCATTATGATGGACCTGCTTCTTTTCCTGGCATTAAGCAAGCATTTAGTCTTTTGGATTTTGCTTTACCACACCCTTCCCATCTCATGCTCGTCTCAGCATCACATTGCTGCCCACTGGGTTTCCACACATCTCTGCTGACTTTCCCCAGGCCATCCGTCTGATCTCATAACCACATCTTCTCTGGTGGTTCACCATGTGCCCCTGGTCCCACCCTCCATAGGAGTTTGCTGTATCACTGCTACTTTCCCATCCATCTGGAATTTCCCCTGAAGCCCCTGAGCCACCTACTCCCATAAATGTCATCAGAAATCTTTTGCTGGGAGGGACTTTCTGCGTTGCATCTTGTGTTTCTTTGCTTAATGCTTGTGTAATCCAAATTGGCTGTTGATCTAATTTGAAATGCCATTGCACCAGAACAGGGCCTCAGCATTCACAGCGCCTGAGAAAGATAAAATAGTGACAGGGAGCCAGATGTCTCAAGAGACTGGGAATCAGTGATGGAGTCTTTAACTTCTACATCACTGCTTCAAAATGCAGCTCTGATCCATAGTGAACTTCGTGGTCTCAGTCCAATTTCTAGTGTACATATGGTCGTGCCAGAAAAATTTCCCCCATAAAACACCACCTGCTTTGGCCGAGAGGCCTGAAGAGGTGTGTGGTGGTCGCCTCAAACCAGAGCGAAGTGTCACCTGCCGCACAAGGGGCGCACGGTCGCAGCAGCACTAGCAGGACTCGTGCATGCTCTGTGGCAAGGGAAACTCCAATTGCGACGCTGCCCACCTGGCCGGCTTCCGCAGGGAAGACATTTCCTTCTCTCCCAAATTACCTTTCAAGCCATTTTTAAAATAGCCTTTTTGCTGAGTCTCATGAAGACTGTAACTCTGCAGTCCCAGAGGTCTGACTTTGATCCCACGTGTACCTAATGAAAGACTCCTCAGAGGTGAGGGACACTTTGCCAAAGTATCAGTAGAAAGAGGAAGAAGCAAGTAAGACATGTGTGTCTGGAGTGTCTCTAGGATAAAAACAGTGTGAGAACAAAATCTGGCCATGCGCACAGGAGCCAAAAGCCATACTAAACTAAGCTACAATTTCTTGCGGTGTAGTCTTCCTTCCTGGTGATGGTTATTTTCTAACCTAGGTGTGCAGGAATTAGAAAGAAGCAGGTGCCAGAGAAGAGGTGACTATGAAACAGTGCTAACGTCGCTACACACAGAGCAGGAGAAAAGCAATCCAGCCTTCCAGGTTTCATTTACTAAAGCCATAACAGTCTGATAGGGCATCAGACCCCTTACTGGCAAAGTCTTCACTGTATGCGAAGGCAACAGAGCAAATGACTGTTTTTCCTTGCAAGGCTTCTTGGCTTGAATGTTCTCCCTCCTCAGCCCACGTTCGCTCAGCTGCTCTCTCCCGGGTTCCCCTTGCCCCCGCTGGAAAGCTGCCCAGAAACTCCCTCCCCAGCTTAAGGGCCAAGACCAAAACAGCCGAGTCAGGCTTGTTATTTGGGTCTCTGCCCCGCCTCGCCTCCCCGTGCAGGTCCATTCCGTGCCTTCATCCTTGTTTTGGCTGCGTATGCTCCCTATGTCCCTCGGCGTTCCTGGCTGTCAGATGCACAGAGCCAGCCAGCACGCTGCTGCTCCCGCATGCCCCCCCATAGCCGGTCCCACGCCGCACGTCTGCAGCCCCGTGTCAGCTCTGGGCATCTGCTTCGTACCATCAGCAATTGTTTGGTTTATATTCGCATATCGGGCTATGACCCTGAACTGGCTTCTCCCTTTAAATTCCTTCCACTTGGCTCTGCCCACACTGTCCACAAAGCCTCTCAAAGAAACGCAGCTTGAAAAACAAAAATATCTAAGAAGAAGAAAAACCCCTTTACAACAAAATGTCCTTCTCTCTCCCAGCAGCTCTGCTTGGGCGCGGTTTTCCCAACACTCCCCCGCAACCGAGCCGCAGAGGCTGTTCGGCACTGCTCACTCCGGCACTGCAGGCGACAGGGTCACCCCACTGCTGGGCACAAAGCGCTCGCAAGCTGTCCCCATCCGCAGGGCTCGTCCCGGCTCACAAGGAGCCAGGCGCCTGCCCGGGGTCATCACGCTGCTGCAAAAATGTGCTTTTTATCCAGCTTTCATCCCAAGACCCATATCGCCCTTTCAGCCTCTGCTGTTATGCAGTGCTGCATCTTGTGCTGAGCTCACGAGCAGGGTAGCGTGGCCCACAAGTCTCCCCCGTGGTGAAGAGCCCGTGAAAGCCCCTTGCAGTCTCATTCGCTCCCTTATATATATATAAGATTGTCCCCGTAGAGTGGCAGCTCCATGCGTGTGCTGGTGGGCGGATAGCTTTGCATTTGCCCTCATGATTTCATGCCAAAAACATTTGCAAGTTCAGCTCATTGCTTGATTTCCCTCTCTCTCGTTCTCCCTTTCGCAGTTACTCACCACGTCTAACGAAGGCGTCCCGCGTTCGTCCCCCCCAGCAGGCCATAAGCTCTCGTGCTTGGGTTTCTTCTTGCATCCCTACAGCTTTATCATTCCCTTGTCCTGCCCCAAGTTCTTAAAGATTTTCCTACAGACTTTCAGTAAGATCAAAATAAATTATGTCACACGCATTGCTGTTATCAAGCCTCCCCTTTCGCCTCTATTTTCAGCAGCTATTTTGGGATGATTAATAATTTACAGTGAGGCTTGGCACAGCAGTGGTTAAAGGGACAAAGCTGATCTGACGCAGGAGCCTTCTGGACAGAAGCAGTTTTATAAAGTCTTATAAAGTGCTATTTTTTCGTTAGGAAAGGAGTGGATTTTTTTTTTTAAGTGTTGTGAGAACAGGAATGTTTCTTTTTTAGCCAATTCCACATACTTTTTGTTATAGGAGAAGATGTGGTCTGAGGGTTTTAGCAGAGGCTAAAACAGGGGAGAACTGGATCTATTTTGGTGGTGTATCAAGTGAATAGGAAATAATTGAAAATGCTGCATTAAAAAATGAGTTTAGCAGCAGCTCCAGGCGAACCCTGTTCTGCAGACAGCCCTCCCCTTACCTGCGCGGCACCCGACGGACCGCGCCGCTGGGTGCAAACCTGCAGATTTGATCCATTTCCACCCTTTGGCAAAAATACATTCCTTTAATCATGCCCTCCTGGGAGCTCAGGTTTGGTGTGTAGTTGTTTTTCTGTTGGTACAATGAAGCATTTTGACTCCCAGAGGTTGTTGCAAGGTTGTTTTCAGGAGTGGATGGTGGGTGGTGGACAGACAGGTCTTGCCTGGGGCTCTGCCGAGATGCTCTCACACATAGTGGTTAATGGGCAGCGTGTGGCTTTGCTGGGTCTGAAGCACATGGAATAACCCTTGCTCCCCGGGGTGCCTGTGACAGCGGCGTGGCAGCAGCCTTCTGCGGACTATTTCTCTTTCCCCACCTGCTGCTTGGGCTGAAATCAGAGCTCAGATTCATCCAGTCCCATCCCAGCACCCTGTCTCCATCACACCCTGCTTGGTGGAAAGGTGATGGTGTTTTTTCGGGACCCCACGTGAGAGACACATCCCTGCTAAGGACACACACCAGCCCTATCGCTTCAGATACGTGTCCAGGTCTGCCAACAGCCTCGCCTGTAATGATGGGTGGGATGCGAAACGGGTTAAAAAACAGAGGCCAGAATTTTTTTTTAGGTTAATCTGCTAATGCCAAAGGATTGTATTTGGCAGCAACATAAGGAGAGTTCTCATCGGTTTACATTTCTGCTTTTCTTCCCTTTAACAATCTAATTTTGTACGTCGCTGTGTGGAATACAGATACAGCTAATCCTCCTCCAGTTAACACCACCCTAGTCGTGCCCTGTGGAAATCTGTGTGCTGCCTGCGGAGGCTGGAGAG